GAACTAATTTGATTGAGAAGAAAAAAGGTCGCCGAAAAGCATTTGGCCAAAGACTTTTGAGCGATACTGTACATACAAACCGACGTACAGTTCGACAGTTCGACACATTAAGGTTGTGGTTCATATAATGATGGAGTGATGATTGGTAGTTCAGAAATGAAATGGGAAAACTTTCTTCAAAGCATCGCTGAGCAGACACTGAATAGAGTGGTTTTCCGAGGTCAGCTTTCAAAGGGGGAAGAGATGGCACACATCTTAATTCGAGCAACCACTTCAGCCTACAATCCTTCCTTGTCAATAATGCTTACAAAGCTGTTTGAAGTTCAACTGCAAGGAATCGACGACCTGCACCGCTTCGAACGAGCCTCTCTCAGTTCATTACGGAAAGGGCTCGATGAGCGGTACCCTCATGAATGATGTCGTTTGCGTAAGTCACCGTAAACTCTCGTGCCAAGTGTTCGCGTCAGATCTGCTTCTGCTGTTTGCAGTTTGGAACCGATCGGCAGTATTGCACCGACCAAAATCAAGGGCTGGCTTGCGCCACGGATGAACCTGGAAGTGCTTTTGTAGTACGTTGAAAAGGCTCCTGATTAGAATAACTGACAGTGATGATAAAACGGAATTTACAGGCATCAAAATTCGACGGTGTTCTTGGTATGGCATGGGATTCAGTCGCGCCAGACAGCATTCGACAACCTATGGACCAGATCTTCGCCAATAAGGTCACTTCAACACATTGGCCATTACGTCCCGCAGCCGTCCGTTCGGACAGTGCGGATTGACCAAGCTTAATCCGCTGGTTAATCCGCTCTCCGGAGAGAGCGAAAGGGGTGTCGTTTTTGTGAAGATCGAAGGCATATGATAAAGGAACGTTTTTCAAGGATTTTTCCTTAATAATTAGCCGAAATTATCTCGAAGTGCACGAAATAAGCGAAGTCAAGGAATCGCGTGAGTTCGGTTTCCACGGTGTCATCCGTCGCGCGCGTTCGCACTCTTCCAAAATTTGCAACCTCCATCACCATTATCAATCTCAGGAGGCTTTCCAAATACGAAACTTCCTCCTTACCACAATTGTCACCCCATCACTCCCACCGTCATGGCTGCTTCTATGGTATTTTTTGGAACTAATATTGGCACACCCAACACCACCCACTTTTCTCCTCTAAAACAGCCTTGAGCGGCAAATCAATCACTGTAATTTGGCAAGCTCTTACCAAATTCACCGAAAAAGCGTCAGATACATCTCCCCTTTACGACCCTCCCCACACTCTTTTCAAGAAGGTAAGGATAGTTCCCTTGGCTCTCAACCCAAGATGCGACCCCTTCGTTCGAATAGTGCGGGGCACGGTTGACTCTCTTCACGGATGACCCTCACCGTGTGATGGTGCGGGGGGGGGCAGGTCGATTCCTTCTAAGAGGGCAACCATAAAGTCGAGCGCTGCGCTTGACCCTGATAAGGTTCCATTTGTGTCGCGTAAGATAACTTGCCCTCTGGTTGGGATGACGGACATAAAACCTGCTCTATGCTCGAGCAACTTGTGATAATATATAAGCTAGGAAAGAATTGTAGTATTAATGGCGGTCATGGTGAGCGCGTGATTCCACAATGCAGTGAGTTTTACGCAAAGAAATAGTTCTCTTCCATAAGTCTTTTTATTTGTATTGGGCTGGTTTTTCTTCGTAGTTACCCAGTGTACTTGTAAAACTTTTGAGAGGAAGGATCCTGGCACATTCCTATTTCGAAGAAGGTTAGCGTTTTTCGAGCTTGCTTCAGAGTTGCATCTCGAAAAGGAGAAGGTTGCGCAAAGGTTTATAGTAAGCGAAGGCCCTGGCGATAGGGGTATTCAAATGCGATTTTCGCGATTTGGAAGTCTCAACTCAGACGCCGTAGCCGTGACATCACCGCCAGCGCCTGCCGTTCCTCTTGTTCATCGTCTGTCTTTCGCGTTGCTTTTCTGAATATTCATGCGTGACAGCTTTTTTCCTAGCCTGTTGAACCTCTTTGCCAATCCACTTGCATTTTTGAGAGGAGTTACGCCGGCTCGATTGTGAGAAGTGCCTTCAAATGAAAATATGTGTGCACTTGCGCAGAATGGGATGTAAGAGGTACGGAACTAAGGAGAAGGCATAGCCGCACCAAATCTAGCATACGGTCAAAATGTACATAGAGCGGAACTTTGTTTGCCAAACTGATCCAATATCGTGTTCTACGGGTGAATCTATCGCCGTAGGAGAACTGGTAGCCGAATTTATAAATGAAGACAAATTTCGTGAAAAATTGCTCATTCTCGGAAATGTGGCCCAGTAAAGAGTCGATAGTACCCAAGTATTACCACTTGTATCAGATTAGACTTGTATTATTAGTAGTACTATATTGTGTTACTATTGTATTATTGTACTAGAGTAGTATTTGCACCAAGAAACTCTATCTTCTGTAGGCGCTGTGCCCGGAAGCGCTTTTCGCATTCTATATGGCTAATGACGAAGACAGCGTTGGTGGAGTTATGACCCTCTGTGGAATGAACCCGGCACATTACAAGGTAACCTTGTCTGAAACTTCATCAACTCGACGGTAACGAGAAATTTGAAGGGTTCGATCGCATGGGAGCCTCTGATTTCTGAGGACTACTGGCGAATCTATTTGAGAGCTGTCACCATCCAAGGAAAAGCGATAACGAACGGGCCAGTCAGCGCCATTGTTGATACCGGAACTTCGTTTATTGGCGGGCCAAGCGATGCCATCCAAATGGTGAACCTTAAAGATGTATTATGGGAAATTTTCTACGTCAATACTTATTGCTCATTTGAAGATTCAAAGCACAATCGAAGCTCTTCTAAATTTGGATGATCAACAACTGGTCGACTGTAGTATTAGACCTAACCTTCCCCCAATCGCATTCACTATTGGTGGCGAGGATTTCATCCTTTTGGGTTCTGACTATATTGTTGAGGTATGGATTGTATATTGCCTTCAAAATCATTACGAAAACAAATTGAGAGGAGAAAATGATGCTATCGTTTGATCTGCACCATCGATCGGTTTTGAACCATGTCAGCCCATTTCAGTACGGCCCGAATATGTGCCAGTTTGGTCTCGTGCCAATCGATCTGCCACCGCCGACCGGTATCCTTACCCTTGTCTTGCTACTCCCATCTAAAAGCGTCCAAATAGCTTATTTCAGGCCCTTTATGGATTCTCGGGGACGTCTTCATCCGCAGATTTTACTCAGTTTTCGATTATGGAAACAGGCGTGTTGGATTCGCTGTAGCAGCCTGATACACCTCTTGTTCGAATAATTCTGCGTCATCTCAGCATGTATAAAGATTGTCGCATTCACGGTTGCTACTCTATGTCTCAAGAACGCACGGTAATCCATGGGGAGATTTTGGAGGCCGATGATTGGTGTAAATAGGAACTTGAACTGTTCGGACCAATTCAAGAAGAATGAGCATTTATCAGAAAATAATAGATAGAGCACTTTCGCGCACTTCAGAGCGAAGCAAGGAATCATTGAACCAGGGGAAGTTCGGGGGTGGGGAGTGGGGGGATGTGGCTATTCACTTGGCATGCGTTAAGGCTGGAATGTGCGAGTTATTCCCCTGGTGTCTCGTAACGTCAGAGCAATGAACACCAGTTCTACGTTCATACATGTTGCCCCTGACGTGTCGAAAAAAAGCGGCGTGCCCACTAGACTAGCATAGCACCCATATTTTGCGTTTGTCACTTTGTTCATGTAGTGACGTTTTCAAGCTCAAGTCCTATTGTTCGATTACTATCAATAATGAATAAATGATAATTCACCCCAGGGTACCTTTTCCCATCCAACCATAACAATCTACCAATCAGATTTCGTTCAAATCTGTCAATCTTATACTGGAATGATTGTTATGTGTGCATCGCATCCCACTCAAGCTTACTGACAAGGAAAGGATCCCAGGTCGTCGTGGCCATTCGAGAAGAGATGTATACGCCCAGACGTGCCTTTGAACGCTGATCTCAAATTTATTTTCCAAATCTGCTGAACGATTCTCTGGACGGAAGTTATGAAGCAAGACAGCACAAAATGGTCGGAACTCACAGTTAAAATGCCGTAGGATCGGTCCCTTATCGTGATGACTGTTTTGCATTCTTCAGGAATGCAGTTAAATAAGCTATTAGAAGCCGTTTAGCTGTATTTCTGAAGAATGGAAAACAGTAGACACGATAAAAGGACCGATCCTACGACGTTTTGACTGTGAGTCCCGACCACTACCGTTGCGCTGTTTTGCTTCATAACTCCGTTCGGAGAATCGTTAGCAGATTTGGAAGGTAGATTTGAGATCAGCGTTCGACCGTAATAATCCTAAATAAGTATATCTACATCTTTTCTGTTAATCAGCATGGCCGGCCCTGGGAGGCCTTTCTTGTCGAAAGGACAACTCGACACCAAGTCGCAAGCGAGCTCTGATTAGATGAGAAAAAGGACGTGTCTCTTATGTCTGACATACTCAAAGCGATGACCAGAGGATGGAATCTGAATTGGAAATGACCTCACATTCCCCAGTTACAGCCGCCAGCTCGCGTGTCCTAGCAATCTGGGTGTGCACCTTGGTCAGTCATGACCTTTCGCACCTTCTCGCTTTCGATATATCGCACCGTCGCCTCAGTTCTCAATTGGTAGACTTCACATATCGTATCTTGACTGCTAACCTCGACTCGGTAAATCTATTCCATTAAATAATATCATTCCGCTCAATGAAAGGTATCAAAACAATGAAATCGGAAGCAGTTACATTTCATTCTCATAGATCTACTTTATTACTTCTTATTAATCTCGTACAATTTCCAACAATTACGTGAGAGTGAATCGGGAAGCTGAACCGGAATTCGTCATGCTTTTTTGAATGAGGGACTTCTTATGGCAGTTTTAGTTCCTATCAGAAAGCAACGCTTGGCCATTTGTAGTCCCATTGTCTCACTATGCAAGGTTCCATTTGAAGAAAGCTATGAAAAGAAGAAGAATCTTGGGGACTGGAACACGAATGCATACCCGGCTAGTGTACTGAGGAAAGGGGTAATCGGCAAGTGCACAATGTAGAATCTAACACTGATCTTAAATGTTAAGTGTTATTTTCAGAAAAAGCAAACCGTCAGGCTGGATCCCTGCAGAAAAGAAACCAGTCAAGATGCACCTCACCATGTTGACAGCACCGCTCGAAGCTGATAGTATTACAGAATATCCGGAATTGTCTACTTTCTGATAATCCTCTGTCCAGTTTCAGAACAAACGAAAATTCCATCAGAGCTGCAATTCGTCGTTCATGATACCAGACTCTCGGACGGTATATGCCGAGGTACACTCATGGCAACATTCAGGTGAGGTGGTCGAACTGACAGATTTCCGCCTTTACTTTCTGAGTTCGTTTTAATATTAAAAAGCGTGTGAAGGAGGACTTAATAGCATCAAAGCAGACGGTACGCACTCATTGCATCTTGACTCAGCTGCCACGCACCTATACTATTGCACGGTGCTACGCGACTACTTTCCTGGTTAGCTGAAAATACTACTGTCCTACTGCATAGGCTCAAATACAGAAAGTCAGATGAAAGAAAATACATGCGGAAAGTTCCAAATGTGACGAGATTGAGAAAGCATAACCCCCGCAGCAAGCACTTAAGATATATTCTCCGATGCTTCCGTAGCAGCCTGTGCCATTCCCAATAGAGTTAGACTGGCAATCGTAAAGGGATCGCAGGGTCTAAGTAGGTCCATTTTATGATACGCGAAGAGGATTAGCAATGAAGGGATATGAGAGCTACTAATACTATACTGCGCAAAAATTTATTCTTTCACGCAATTGTCCCTGCCTCCAACGCTGCAATTCTTCCTTTCCTGCGCAATCTTGATGCCTTCCGTGTGGTCCCTCACTTGTGCACCGAAACACCTCGTGGAAGTGAACGCTATGCAAACGAAAATCGTTAGTCTCGCCATGCATCGCAGTAACCATGACATCGACAGTACAACATTTCTCCTCGCCCTCCCCATCCTTCCTTCGTTTCTCCACAGCCGTCCAGCTGCCACTGCACACATGTGGAATGATCAGGAATAAGTGTGCTCAGTAGGTGTTTATATAGCCCCTAGCGGTGTTATCACAGTTATCCTAGTACAAACATTTATAGCTCAACTCCTGTGAGCTAGATTTGTCAGCGGTTGTTTACTACATACATGAGCTCCCTTACCTGCACTCCACATTTTGCGGACGGACAGACGACATACATACATACATACAGGGGCCAATAAAAAAAAAGACATTTTGTCTCCACTTTCAGATGGATTTAAGCACACTTTGCTCAATTCAGACCGAATGTTCCCAACTTAATATTGAAGAGCACATTTCATTCTATAAGAAAATCTTCATGTTGGCCACCCACGTGGACGGCAACAGAAGAATTTGCCCTGGAAACATGGTGCACTGGTCGAGCTCAATGGGGTCTTCGAAGGATTCTGTACCATAACGACCTTTACTGGAAAGCTCGTTTCGAGGGGATTTGTATAGTGGGAGCTAACGCCTCTAGAAAAGTATCCAACATTAAATCGATTCACGAAATTGCGTAAGAGCTTCAGGCTGAAGCTCTTACAGTAGACCTCCTTGAGCCTGACGACGGTGACAGATGACGTCATATTCTGAAGACGGTGAGGGCAGTGAAGGAGGGCCTGCGTTCACTAGAGGGACACTTAGGGAATACTCTGCTGAGGAACTTCCCGTCAACGCCGGCAATCTCTGCGAAGAAAGCACACAGACCGAATCCGACACTAGCAAAATTCTTTTTTTTTTGCCACTCGTGGCTCCCCCCCCTGTACAGTTACATACACACATACATACAAACCGACACACCAAGCTAGCGGTTTATGTAATAGAAGGATAGATGTGCTTACCGCAGGCTTCCGTTTTAGGCGTGGTATTCCTTCCACGATCGCTAGTGCCAGATGTCAGAGTGCTCAAAAATCCTCCATTCCAAGGGAGCACGCTGGTCAGAGAAGGTGCGAAGATTCTCTGAATTAATCTCAGACGACGTGGGTAGAAGGCTTATCTAAGGCTGTGTGGTGAAATAGAATTTGGAGAAGCTGCATATCAAAAATTTAGCAGCAGCATTTCACAGGTGATCGTTCGAACGTAGGGATGTTCAAGTACTTGCTGTAAAGCTCTTTTAGTCGGGTTGGAGTTCTCATAGACGTTCACCATCCGGAACCCTCACCGGCTTATTCTCGCAGTCTTTCTCAACATGGACATGTCAGCTGTGATCACTAGAGACAACATGCGTTTCACGCACATAGATCCGGTTTCCGAAGAGAAGCAAAGTCACGAAATCCACACTCTATGGATGGTCTGAGGGGGGGGGGAGAGACAAGGGAGCGCGAGGTAGGAGATGCTCCTTGGGTTGGCCACGTATCTAAAGACGCACCGAAAGAATCTAATGAAACCGTCCGATTTGGGAGAGTAGAGAGGAAACGACGAAAGAGTAGGAAGCAGTAAAAGAGTGTTAGCGCAATAAGTCGAAAGGTCAAAGAGAGTTCCTAGTGAGGGCACTCCCAGAACCAAGTGAAAGCTCCCGCCACCACCATTTGTGTCAGATGTAGCAAGAATTTGAACACGCAACAGTCCTTCGTTTTTCGAATTGTTTACGAAAAGGAAGCAACCTTTCTCTTCTTTTCTCTTCTCGTGCTTTTAGAAGCCCTGCGTAAGCTGAATTTCGAGCTCGGCCGCTCTTGTAGGGTTACGGGGCAGTGGTCAACCAACGCGTAAGAGTCCAGACAGAAAAGCACAAATTTTGTGCTTCTAGACTAAGCCTTTTGAAGGAAGGAAAGAAAGCAGAGATGCTGTAATAGTGTGCATGTGCGAGAGTCCCAGAGAACACTACAAAACGCTGAATCACCAAGCCTTTCGGTTGACCGCTGCCCTTGAACGCTCTTAAAGGAATCTTCGCGGAAAATTCTTGCACTCTTTCCCAACATGAATATGTCAGTTGTGATCACTGGAACAACACACAAAGTTTCACGCATGAAGATTCGGTTTCCGAAGAGAAACAAACTCACGAAAACCACACTCTATGGACGGTGGAAGGCAGAGTCGAACCCTGCGTTGCGCAGTTCGCAACGGCCACGTTGCG